CTAAAATTGAAATTTTACAGATCAGTGTTTTCACTACAGCGCGAGAACGCGAGAATCTCGCATATTTTTTTCTTTTCTCGCATTAAAAAATTATTACTGCGAGAAATTCGCGCATTCTATAAATCAATTTCAAAATTCGCGAATTTCTCGCATTTTGGAAGAAGCTTCGAATTACGCTATTTAGTACACATAATCCGTTTCACTTTTCTTCATGAATCTTTCATTATTTTCAACATTTGCTCCGTTATCTAGCTTTCCTATTCACCAGTATTGTTCAGAACCTTTTCGAACAACAGAACACAACCACGGAACCCCTTTCGGAACACATTTCTCTGCAACCACGTGTTTACCGTAGGTAAGGTTTTTTCATGTAAGACGTTCAAATTTTTTATGCACTAATGTAAGATGGACAAATACCTAGTAAAGGCAAAATCTTCTATGATGATGCACCAAAAATATTCAATGCTTTAAAAAATAGAAGACGTTAAAAATGTATTATAATAAAAGAATTGATTTTTTTTTCAAGTCTATTTGTGTTTTTTTAGTTTTTAGAAATCTCACTAAACTTTCTGAAATCTCACCCTGTTTTAGAGAAAGGGTGAGAAATTCTCACCCATTTTTTTTCTATGATGAAAACACTGGTAGGGGGCAACATTTGATATAGTTTCCTATAATCAATTATAATGTTTACAGTAGATGTGAAACAATTAAACAAAAGCTCACACTATTTTTATATCAAAGAAAAACAATTACAGTAGATGTGAAACAATTAAACAAAAGCTCACACTATTTTTATATCAAAGAAAAACAAAGTGACTCAAAATATTTATTATTAAGAGAAGGAGGGGGATCTTTGCAGAAGTGTGCACATTTTGAAACCCATCTTTGAAATGGAAAATACAGAAAGCAGTTTAAAAGATACTTATTTTGTTAGATTAAACAAAAAATTATTATTAAGTAAATGTAGTTATACTTTAGTAAAGTGTACAAGCATTCCTGTCCATGTCTTAAATTTGAAAAAAAATTTGTTTTTTTAAATAAAACTTAGGTGATCATTATTTACCCCAGTAACAGAGTGATCGTGAATTACCCCGGGTCACCCTAAAGAGAATTCTGCCACAAATCACAATATAGAAATCTTCCCTTAATTTAGAGATGAATGCTAAAACCTCAGATCTTGCTACAGGCTTTTTAATATATTTGTTTTTGAAGTAATCTGTAGTAAAGTTGGTAGATCATGGTAAAAGGTAAAGAATTTTTACATTTTAATTAAAAAATATTCTCTAATATTCCTAAATATACTGTTATATTTTAACTCATACAATAAGTTAGTTAATCAAATTTAATTTTTTCTTATAGATTTGTAAACATTTTCTCGTGAAATTCTGTCCTAATGATCTTTTTGTGAACACTAAAGCAGATTTAGGAGCTTGTCCTAAGATTCATGATGAAAGACTAAAAAAAGAGTATGTATTGCAGTTTATATATTTACGTTTACTTTATTAAACAAAATATAGTTTTCATAAAGCTTGTTTTAGAATGTAAGTAAACAGTTGAAGGTCAGAATGTAACCTAGCTAAAGGTCTTTTCAGTGCAAATGTTTGCATTAATAAGCGTTAGAAACTGATCTGAGCTCTTCATTGTGTAAGTTATCATTATCTTAGATGATCGTATTCTCTATCAGCAAATCTTGTTCGAAAAATTAATTGACAGATATGCCCTCTAAAGCGGATTTTTAAAAAAAATGATCCAGTTGTTCATTTCAAATATTAGTTTTTTCTTCACTCATTTAAACTTTTGATTTCATAAATTTATAAAATATTGTATATTCATTCTAAAATGTATCATGAGCCCCTTGGCAGAACCGTAGCGACATTGTCGCAGAACGTTACAGACTTCTAGCAGAAAGATTTTTTTTCTAAAAAGTAAAAAATTTTACCTTTTTTTTTTATTTTTTATACAGAAATTTGCATGTAATATTTGAATCATGCATAGATAATCACTTTTTGACGCTCTCAATTTACGCCGATAGTACCGTAAATCAATGTATGTTTCGATTGTATTTTCGGCAGTTATTGATATTGATTTTTACGTGGATNGACTTCTAGCAGAAAGATTTTTTTTCTAAAAAGTAAAAAATTTTACCTTTTTTTTTATTTTTTTATACAGAAATTTGCATGTAATATTTGAATCATGCATAGATAATCACTTTTTGACGCTCTCAATTTACGCCGATAGTACCGTAAATCAATGTATGTTTCGATTGTATTTTCGGCAGTTATTGATATTGATTTTTATGTGGTTTTTTAAACATCTCAATATATTTCAAACAATATGGAAAATTCGAATTGTGCATTTGAATATTTATTTTTTAAGGCAATAATTCTATCGAAATTTTGGCTGTTGATTTCTCCACAGTTTTTTAATTCAATATTTTTTATACAATATAATTTATTACAACAACCTCATCTCGAAATGAAACACGCATTTGAAGAGTTTGATTTGATTTCGTTGTCTATCTTTTTTTTTAAGCAATTACTACTACAGAATGTTAATTTTTAATTATTTTTTATTGTGATGATTATTTACAAAATGCGAAGAAGTAAATAATTTGTTTGTTTCCCCCTCTCCCCAACAAAATGTGAAAATATCACCCATAATATTTGAATAAAAAATTATTAAGTGTTAAATAAAGAAAAATCATTCAGTTTTTTTTTTTTTTTTGTAAACACAGTGTATTTGTTATTAATATAGAAACATGCATGTTTTTTATTATTAAAAGTATCTTGCAGAAAGATGTTAGTGCTAGAGAGTTTAGTCGCAGATAGCTCAAAAAAATTCTGCCACAGGGATCATGAGACAGAACTGATAATGTTACTAATTTTTACCTCTTTTTCAAATGCTTTAAACGATTTTTATCCAGTTTATTGATCAAATTCTAATTTTTTATTGTTATTTTTTTTAAATAATTTTTTAATACAATAAAATTAGTTATACTGATAACTTATGTGTAATATAGAAAACTGGCTAGCAACTAACAAAGTCAAAACGGAAAACATCATTTATATAGGTGTATAGAAATAAAGAGAGGAGGCTTGGCAGCAAAATCTATTTTGCTGCCAAGCCTTCTCTTCTAGCATATATCTTCTGGCTGATACCTATGACAGCTCATCGACTAGTCTGTTGTTTGAGCAATCGAAATGGTCTATCGGTAAATCTGTTTAATGTTGCATATATCTGTGCTGTATCAGAATCACTTTTGATTTTTTTAGGTATGAAAAGAGCTCCCGTTTTCAAAGGATGGGCTATGAAGATGATTTTTTAAGATTTTGTCAAAGTATGTTGTCTGATGTTGAAAAACGTATAAGACGAGCAAGGACAAGGTTAGCACTTAATAGCAAAGAATCAAATGTGAGTAAATAGTTTACATAATTTCACTCTTAAATTTGAAGTGCAAACTAAAATTTAAAAAATAAATGGTTTACTGTATTTATATGTTAGTATGGAGACTACATAGCTTAATTATTAATTATGTGTACATATGTTAAGATAGATAAAATAGATCTTAATCTTATGCTAACAGATAATTAAAGATGCTTGTATAAATTTATTCCTTTAAATTATTACGGCTTTGCAATTTTGAAATAAGTAAATAAATCTATTTATATATATAATTTTTTTTCCTGCAATAATATGCCAATTAGTACCTTAAATTGAGTACGTTTTTAAGGTATGGACCATTGTGTTATTTGCCTTAGCTAATTGTTTTATTATTCTTTTCTGTTGTTGCTGCTTTATTTTAATCTTTAAAATTTTATTTTGTTTGAAAGCTAATAATTTTATTGTTCAGGCTTACATTGGAAGTTTGATGCTAATGCAAGTCACAAAGAATGTATACTAAAAGTATTGCAAAACTAATATATAGCTTGTTTTCTCTTGTTCAGTATTACTCTTATTAATTAAAAATATGGATGACTTCTTAATAATTTCCAGAAATGAATTCAAAATTTGTGAAATTTTCCTGCATTTAAATGTTTTTTTATTTTTATTTATAAGTGTTTATTTTAACAAACTGCATAAAATGACAGATAAAAATAAAACTATAATTTGATAATTTTTATTCAGTATTGTAAATAATATATTTTTATGTAAGTGAAAGCAAGAAAATTATGGATAGAAAGCATTCAATTTTTTTTAATAATCTTATTCATTACATTTAATCTGCTTCATTTTTCTTATTCTAATAAATGAAGGATTGATATTAGTTTATGCACCCAATTTTTTCAACAATGTATGTATTAGGCTACTAATTATATTACATTGCATTAGGCTACTCATTACAATATTACTTCATGGTGCTCTCAATGAAGTTAGGAAGGAAAGTTATTATCAAATTAGAAATAAAATTTGATTAAATAGATGTTAAATTGTTTATTTTTAGATAAACTATGTTAAGAATGTAATTTAAATCTACTTTATTGTTACTGTCACTTTTTAATGTTTATTGATTTATGTCTAATATGTTTATGCATACTAAAGCATATTAATATTTTTAAATTATAAATTTTCAGATAAATCAACCTCCACAAGTGAAAAATAGTGATGATGAAAAAGTTAATGTTTTAACTGAAAGGATCAATGCGCTATTGGTTCAGGTACAATTATTTTATTATGTATGATAATGATTGAATCTTCTATTATTTATTTTGAATTAAATCATCTGAATTTTATTTGAACTAGGTTGAAAATTTGGGATGTGAAGGAGAAGTTGAAGAAGCTCAAAGTATAATGAAACTTTGTGAACAGCTTAAAGTTGAACGTGAAGCTCTCAGGAAGGCTTCAGAAGCAAATCATTGGTTTCAGGTAGAATATCATACATGCATTGTAATAATATATTTGTAGAAAAAATCAATGGAAGCTTAAAACCAGTGATCTCGGTGACTTCTGTAAAACCTTAACAATTTGACTAATCAGCAGAATAAGAAATGAAACCAAATAAAAATAATGTTTCAAAATAAATTTTCCTCCCCCAGCTGTAGAAATTATATTACCAAAACAATTATTCTTTAGAAATTTCAAAATGTCAAGGAAGAAAAATAAATTCTAAAACAGAAATGTTTGACCTCAGTTAACTTTACTTTGTGTCATAGTACATTAGTAGATTCAGTAGTCAAGAAATTTTTTTGTAGTTAACTGTAACCACTTTATTGTAAGTGTAGTTACAACTACTGTGTACTACAACTACTTTTTAAAAAAACTGCAGACTACACACTACATTCAAAATGTCGCTACTTTTAGGGGAAAAAACTTTTTTCCTAAACTTCGATTTACACCCATGTTAAAAATGGTTTTGATTAAAAAATAAATATTAAAAATTCTTAAAGAAATATCATTAAAGATTTGAGAAAAAATAATTTATTTCATTTTATTTATTTACTTATTATTTATTTATTTAAAAGACCATATCATAATAATTTCAATAAAATTATAAATGCCAATTAACCAACTCTGTCTTATTCTTCTGATTTTTTTTTTTAAAAATTATCTCCTAAGATATTATTGATATAAAGTACTAGTTATTGTATAAAAATTCTTAAAAGTGTTAACTAGAAGAGTTTTTTTTAACATACTAATTACTAAATATATATATATAGTACAAAAAATTATGTTATTCATCATTATGAAATGTATTTGCTTTGAAGATCAGAAGTAACATGACTTACTATCTATATTTATAATTTACTTTCATAACTTCTTAGCTGATCAATAATTTTTTTAATATATTCACTATCAATATTTAGACAGCAGAAATTGCAGCAGCCCAAGAAAAACAAATGGAAGTTTGTGAAGTATGTGGAGCTTTTCTTATTGTGGGTGATGCACAGCAAAGAGTAGATGATCATTTGATGGGAAAACAGCACGTTGGCTATGCTAAATTAAAAGAAGCTGTTGATGAAATATTGGTTTGTTATTTTATTGATTTCAGTTCATTATCTGTATTAAAATGTATATAAGCTATTTTTATTCTAAGGCTGAACTTTATTATAACTGTTTGTATACGGGCTTGCTCATTATTGAAATTTTTTCAGCCTTGCTTATTCTTACCTTCAAAATACATTTTATGTCTGCATAGCAGTAAGCAGCACTGAACTGTTGCACATAATAGGAATATTTTGAAAAACCAGTTTAGGAGGTAACCCAAGTTCGAATCCCAGCAATGGCTGGTCAATATGAATTCCGCATTCGGCTTGCACTGACCACAGTGCTGACGTCAAATATCCTCAGGGGATCATAGGTTAGGGTCCTTTTGCCATCAAGCTAACCATGGAAAATTTTCCTTTCCATGTAATGTAAACACTGGTTAATTCCATCAACAACAAGAAATCCTACACTGAGGCTAATTTGTCCCAATTCTTGATTCAGGTGTTCCCTTGTCTTTAGAGCTGGGTTCAAAATTACAAAAGTTGTATATTTAAAATTTGATTTCTCAGAAACTGTTCAACCAATTTTGCTTAAATTTTGATTTTGCCATGTAAAATTACATACTTTAAAATGATGTAAATAATTGTATACCTTACAATTCAAAACTATTGTTTAACCATTATGACTATTATTTAACAAGAAATGATAAACATTTACTAAAATTTATTTTTGCATGGAATTATCTTTGAAAAAATCAGTTTTATAATTCTGTGCAAAAATTTTTCAAATTTCTTGAGATATGGAGAAAAACACAAAAAGTGAAATTAACATTAAAGAGTCCAAACTTTGGATCATTCTCCTAGCCAAACTATGGGGATCATATTTCCCAGATATAGGCTACCCCCTATATTTTGGGGATCAGAATGAAATCTGTTGAAAAAAAAGGTATGTTTATTGAGAGAAAGTGTTTCTGTGCCTGATTTTTGAAACTTAAAATATCGTCTGTAGTTAATTAATTAGCATATTTAAAGTCACCCCTTCAAACCATTATAAAAGAGTTATAGAAGATTAAATTTCGATTATTAGAGTTATTCAGGATGGTCCGCTTTATTTTTGTCGCACGGTACAGAAATGTTAAGGCATTTGATTTGATCCTCAATGCAACTGAGATTATGTCACAGTGAAACTCTTTACATAAAAAGCAATGTAAAGTAAAATAAAAATATATATATATTTTATAAATGGAATTTTTAATATTAATAATGAATGCTGGGATGTATAATCAATCACTTGGAGGTATTTTCACAGCATATCTTATTATATCATAGGAGAAATTCCAATCCAATGAAAATTAAAATTTGTCATTAATGTAAGAATAAAAGACTAATTGTCATTTATATAAGGGATAAGTTCATTTAACATTTTTCATAAAACATGAACATGAAAAACATGTATTTCACTCCAAGATTATAGGCTATATATCTCAATCACAAACACTTGCTCCATACATAAATTATTCTGCATGGTCTGCGATTGTTGATTTTAATAGTTACTGCTTTAGGGATGTGTTGATTGATTTGTGTAGACTTTTTTTAATTTTATTTATTAATTTATAACGATTGTGTTTATATGTTTAGGACAATCGAGAAAAAGTTCGTGTTGAAAGAGAAAAGTTGCGTGAAAAAGAAAGAGAAGAAAGACGAAAAGCTAGAGGGGAAGAAGATAAAAAACGAGAAGAGCGTAGAAAACGCATAGAAGAGGAACGTAGGGAGACTGAAAGACATAGAGATCGGTCTAGAAGAAGCAGAAGTAGAGATCGAACTCACAATAGAAGACATTCTCATCGTAGTCGAAGTAGGGATAGTCATTCTCACAGTAAAGGAAAAGACAAAGAAAGGTGTTTATGGTGTTTTCATTTTAATAAATTAGACATTCATTAGTTGAAACTATGAAATTCTCTCTATGTTAATAAAAAAAAACATCTTCCTGTAATGTTGTCATTATAACTGAATAGGTAACTTTTATACCTTCTCTTGGTGTTAAACACCATGATAAATTTTCCCTCAATACATAGTATTATTATTCAGTAACAAAAGAAAAAATGTTTTCTTTGTAGAAAAGTAATAAAACGAAATTGAAATTGATACATATTAGTTCGAGTGCCAAAAATAACATTGTAAATATTAAGTAATTTAAAATATGGTGCATATCACTTTAACCTTTTGTGGATCAGATAAACAGAGTTTTGCATGTTAAGCATATAACAAGCAGATGGTTAATTCTATGATTTATTTTCCGTAGAACTTTTTGGAGTTATCACATTTAAAATTTCTATGCTTTTTCTAAAATTTGATTTGAATTCAGGATGACATAAAATGATTCTTTAAAATTTCATGAAAATCTAGAAAGAATGAATTTTGAAATAATTTTTTTGTTGATTGAAATAGAATAACTCATATTAAACATAAAGCGTCTAAGATATTTTAAACTAAAATCTAACACACTGATCTAACTTTTAAACAAAGAGATTATAGCAATTCATCATTTCAAAAAAAAAAAAAAATTTCTTTTGATACACGGATTTTAATTACCCCTGAAAATGGTAGGTTTTGGGGAAACTAATTAAATTATGTATAAATTTTCTTTTTTTTAATTACATAGATCTCGAAGAAGGAGTGGGAGTTCTGAAAGAAAATGGCATAGATCACGTTCCCGTGATAGTGGACATCGTGATAGTCGAAGATCAAGATCTCGTTCTACTGACCACAAAAAGGATAGAAGAAGTAGAGATCACAGAAAAAGTTCTCGTATGTATGCTTATTAAGATATTTAAAATTAGCAAATGTGTGTGTAGTGTACACATTAGATGATTCTTTGTGTTTATTGAATAATTTCAATTTATATCTATTTCATAGCAATGTAATTTTTAAGTATTGTCCATTTTTTTCTTTATAAATTGTCAGTATTTTCAGAAAAATCTAGTGAAGATAATAAAATATATCAAGTAAATCTTGAGTAACTTAAAAAAAAAAAATTTGTTGTGTGCTTTGGATACCAATATAATAGGCGTATTAAAAGCTTAAAAATTTAAACCTCCACCAAATTAAAATTTTTAAAGATAAAACTGTTATTTGCAGATTTATTATACATTAAAACAGCAACATTTAAAATATTTATATTTTGCATGGTAAACTATTTTAATTTAAGAACTAAAATAAAGTGATTTGGCTTGCGCACAATAGTGCAAGCGGAGTCAGAAATGACGAGAAAAAAGTTATGACATTTCTTCAAGGACACCTAATTTATCTAGGTTATGGGGGGAAAGAAGATAAAATTAGTGCTTACTTGATTAAAAACTTCATTCGCATCAAAAATTTACAAGTTGGAAATCACAGTAGACATGTTTCAAACGCTCAAAAACAGGCTTCCATTTTCAAGACTTGTGAGATGTCACTATAATTGTTGGAAATATGATCAATAATCGTGTCAAATTAGCCAAATTTAGCTCTTTGCTTATTTCAGGTTAAGTCACGGGATGACGTCATCAAAGATCAATGTTGGAGGTTCATCGGGAGTTGTAACAAACTATTCTCGTGAGACAATGTTTTCCTCATGGGAGAAACCAGTTACTACCCAACTCTTCACCTACTTGTAAGATAATTTATGCAAGATGCTCAGTAGCTGGTGATTGGTTGATGATGTTGAATCTCTATGTTTAAAAGGCCGAGACTTAACCATGCTCTCTCTCCTTTTGTTTTTGATCTAACTAGTATGTTAGATACTCCAGAGGTATAGTCCATGCTACGGCACAAGAATCGATGATGTGTAGCTTATAGGGTTGCAACTTTTTTCTAATTATCTTTTCTTATATTGTCACTTGTCGGAATCATTGAATAAATTTCTATTTCTGGAGCTGCATGTGGAGTGTTTTCCCACTCGCTAAAATCTATTTGGCTGTCTATTTGTCTGAGGATGCTATCAGGGAAAAAGAAGGCTCGTAGCAGTGTCTGTCAGTCATTTCCAATTTGTATAGTTTTGAAGCGAATGAAGTTTTTAATCGAGTAATATTTTGCCACTTCAGTTTCTAAAGATTATTTAATTAAAATTAGTGCTTGTTAATTTTGCCATATTAGGCTAAATTAAACTAAACTACTTTTTTTTAAAAAATAACATTTTCTTTCCATTTCTTGTATTAACAACAGAGGAAGAGAATCAAATTTCATGAGCACTTTCTCTTGGTGCAGATCAATTGTAATTAAAGGCTTTGATTTCTCAAAATGTAACTTCCACCCTGTTTTATCTAAGTTAGTTTTGTCTATCAATAAGTTGAATATTATAAATGTGCATATAAATAAACAGGTAGAAATTTGTAAGTTTTGAAAATTCTATATTTCCTGGTATTTAATTTTTATTTTAAAATTTTACTTTTAAGATTTATTTTAAAAAGATAGACATACTTGAAATCAATAATATTTTCCATAAATTTTTTTTTCTGAAGATTACTTTTTAATGAATTTAATTAATTTTTGCATGCAAATATTTGTTTTTTAGTAATGAAGTAGTCTGACTTATATGTTAATAAAAAATGTTTTAATTTAAAATATCTGATCTGAAAAATAACTTCAAAAGCTAAAGCTTTGAAAATAATAGATATAACAGTTGTTACGGCAATCAAGATTTGTACTTTGACCACAACATCTGTTGCCACTTACATATATGTTTTGAATGAAATAAATTGTAACTGAAACTCTTATTGTGTAAAAATTTTCATGTCTTAGTGATTTGAGCTTTTTAGCAATTAAACATTTTTCATAGAAATACAGTTTTCTCCTAATATACTAAAGCTACCTAATGTTATTTACTAATTTTTAAATTTTTTTACATACATATTATTCAATTCTCATTAATAATGGTTTTATCCTTCCCTTAACAAAGTGTTATTTTAAATGATCAAATCAGCATCATGCATGTAAATATGTTCATCTGAGAAAGATTATATTCCTTATTAGCTTTGGAAAATATCACCAGATTTTGAACGATAAAGTCAACTCGTATAAAAATTTCAGTTTTGATTCTTGGTCAAATTAATTGCAAATTGCAATTTTATTTTTATTTTCCTGCTCATAAAATATTTTCTTTTCATGTAAATCTTTAAAAAAAAGGCATTAATAACTTTAATTGGAATCCACTTTATCTAAAAAAGGACCCAAAACTTTAGAAATTTCTCTATCAAATCATAAAATGAAGAAATTTTTTTAAAAATTTATTATAACTTTTGTCTCCCAGATGCACAAAGTCAATACAGAAAAGGTGGGAAAATGCAGTTTTTTATCGTTAAAACAGACTTCATAAAATGTTTTCCTGTAAAAATCAACCTTTCTCATCATTTTTATTGAAAAATGGACTCGAGTGACTTCATTAATGAATGATTTTAAAACTACAATTCTAGAAAAGATGTGAATTTTTTTCTTGCAAAAACAGCACATTAATTTGCACAGTCACAAAAATAAGGCCCTGGTAGAAAGAACTGGGTCATATGCTTATTTTAGATTTGAAAATTATAGATTTTCACCAAATCCTGAGAAAGGGACTTAATTTTTACGAATTTACTAGTTAACACTACTCTAGTTTGTAACTAGATAGATTTTACTTCACTGTCCTTTTACAAAGAGTCTAACAATTCTGAATTATGAGTTTTGCCATGGGTAAGCAAAAGATTCATTTTTTAATATGAATAAGAAAAACTTCACATATTTCTTTCATTTAAAGTTAGAATATTTTTTCATTTATGTATCTGTTATGTATCAGTTATTTTTCCTAAATTATTTCAGTGATGCATAAATGAATAAGATTGGGGATTTTTTCCCCTACATCTTTCTGTCAGACTAGGAACTTCTGAAAAATTTTACATAAATAAGAAAAAGGCACAGGGGAAAAAAAAAACTGCATAAATATTACTTCATTGTTCAATATTACATCACTGTGATAGTTCTTATACCTGAAATTTGTTTTGTGCTAGTTTAAATTTATTAATTTCAGCAGTAGTTTTGTAAATATATTCATATTTTGTAATGCATTAAATAAAATTAGCATTTTTGCACTTTATTATTTTAGTTCTGATTCAATTAACATAACATTTTACAAGCGAAATAGAATGAACTTTTTAACCTTCAAGGATATGACATTTAGCTTGTTAACTCCTGTTGTACCAGCTTTCAGCAATAGGTTAAATTCTTGCAAATTATGTAGTAATAATTTTTTTTTCATTTAAAACCTAAAATAAAATATTTATAATAATATTTTTTTTATTAATTTAGATGAAAATGGTGAGCCACCAGAGAAAAGTTCTAGATCAGAAGAGGGTAGTAAAGGGCGCCATTCCTCAGGTGATTGACCTCTGATCTAATGTTGGTTTTGACAGGTAAGTGAACATAACCTATTCTATGATGCTCCTTAAGTGAAGCTGATTTCCGGCATCTTTCTATTATGCATAGGTGTTTGAGAAGACTGGATTCAAAGCAAGATTTTGAAATGCCGACTTCTAGTTCAAATAGCAGGTATTTGCGACTTTTAAACGCGAAGAAGGCAAAATTAAACTAAAAAAACAATTTAATACTTTAATTGGCTATTTCAATATTTTCATAAGTATTTAAAATTTAGCTTTTAGCACTTATTGCTAATATTTAATTTTTTTTTATTATTGCCAGTATTTAATAGTCAATAAAAGCTTAAACTAATATTATGATCAAAGTAGCTGTAAAATCAGTTCAATTTCATTACATCCTATCGTGTTTCAAACAGCTTAAATATGTAAAGTTAAAACAATATGAAAATACAGAAACTAAAACTGTTAGATATCTTTAATGTTAGTATTTCTTAAAAAAAGAGCTGCTGTAACTGTAACAATTTAACTTTCTTTATCAAAGCTTTTCAAAAGTAATTTATATTTTTATTTAATGCTCCTCATAAAGTATATCTTAATAAAAAAAAATTGTTTTGTTTTAACTTTTTTCTCTTAATTATGAAATGTTAGGAAGAACTGATTTTTTAAAAAAGTTGCATGTTTAGGCTGATATTTTGGTAGATAATTGTGATTAAAAAATTTGTTTGTCTCTTAAAGGTTTTGTCCTTAAAATGCTTTTAGTATGTAAATTAGAATAAGAAATTACTGAGTATATTAAGAGTATTATAAAATTGAAAATTGTGCAGTTAATTAAATCTTCCTTGACTGTTAAAAAAATGTTATATACCAGTAAATTGAATAGGCAGTCAGCAATTTTCTTTTAGTTGCTCATCATTAGCTTTTATAATTAGTAAAAGTGTCAATATTTTTTTCCTTTTTGCCTGATTAGTCATTAAGATTCAATTAGTCATATTACAAGTAACCCTCTGCTTACAATTCTCTTCGAAAATTGATTAAAAATTAATTAAAAAAAAAAAAAAAAAAAAAAACGCTAAATTTATCTTTAAAATTAATTTAACTTTTATATAATTTTTATTTAACCTAGGTACTTTTAATTTATTTTATAAATAAGTTAGATCAATTTCTTAGACTTTAAAATCTTAATCAGGAATGACTTTCCTTATTCAAAAGCTATGCAAGAAGAGAAAGTATTTCCTATTTGTTTACAAATTTAAATAAACTTTAAGAAAATTATGTATTTTCTAATTATATTATCAGTATGAATGAAGCTCTTTGATTATAAGTTTTTAGTTTAAACTTTTATAATGGTGTCCTGGGGAGAATAAATAAGCCTTGTCTAAAATCGTAGTAAATTCGGTGGCTTGAAATAACGTGAATTTACTTTCTCCAAACATTAAATGGAATAAAGTGTCAAATCCGTTTTTATTCCTCTACCTATCCTTGGACACCTTTTAAAATTATTCATTTATATTAAATAAAAAATAGGCTCATTACAAATCGTTTTTGCAAAATACCCCTAACACTTGTAGTTCGTCAGTTTAACAGGTATATATCTGTGTTATGCTGTGGACAGCCAACGGACCATCTCGTGGTTTACTCTCTCTTCTACCCGTTTCTATACCTGGAGCCTTTTATGACAGGTGACATCTTTTATTTTAAAACTAGTGACGTTTGGAGAAATATTTATTCTCAGCATCTTCTCAAAAATATCATTACATTGTACATTGTTCTTTATTTTTGTTTTGATCTTATTAATTGATTGTATATAATTTACATATTAACTGAAAATCTGAAGTTGATGCTACCAGCAACTGTCTTGGACCATGTTTTTCTTATTTGACATGTCATGTAAAATAAGGTATTTTCATCATTATTCTTTGTATATTTTATATCTAGTTTTGAGTTCGTATAATCCTGTCCGAAGGTTTTTTTTTTCAATTCTTGAAATTGTTTCAATATAACATGTAAAAATGTTTTTTATTTATTTATAGGGTATGTAGGTATTTTAAAATTCACTATAATAAAATATATTTTTGTATATAAAATCATCACCCTTTTGAACCAAATTGTGTAATTACAAGGCTTTGCAACATCCTTTCCTTATTTAACATTTATTTTTAATAATATATAAAAAATAATGAGGAAAATAATTTTACCACACTTAATTATTCATTAGATTGGAGAGTAATAATTTTTACCTAATGAGGTTTTGAAACTTATCAAATTTAACTAAAAAATTTAAGATATTAAAAATTTATAAAGGACAGTCAATGTAAAGTTTTTAAAGGTTATGAATTTTTTTTTAAAAATTAAGTTCGATTTTTAGTTGATATCATCTTTAAAAAAATTAACAATTAGACATATTTTCTATTCCTTACATGAAATTTGATTTGAGCATTGCAGTTGCATACAAGTAATGTTAATTAAGTATAGAGTATACGTACTATAGTAGTATCATGAATAAATTATAGAGTTGAAATAAAATTTAAAAATTTTTTTTTCTCATTGCAAAGTGACTTCTTTCTTTAAATATAAATAATAACAATAATAGGATTGTTAAATATAAATAATAGCTTTGATTATTAAAGGTATTAAAATTGAGGTATAAAAAGTTTGATGTTATTCTAGAAATGACAAATAATCGAATATTTTTATTTATTTTATTTTTGATTAGGAGCAAGATTTATGCAAGAAAACATTATACAATTTATGCCTTTTAATTCAGCAAGAAAAGTATCAGTGCGAAATTTTTGCCTAAACTATATTTTCTGTTTCAGATAATTAATAAGGATATAGCGAATATTCGGCTTCAAAGTATTTTTGCCAAAGCTTTTTTTTTTTAATTTGGAAAGATTTTTAAAGAATCATCTAAAACTATATTTTCTACTATAGAAATAGTTTTTACACATATTTGTTAAGTTCTAAAACTTGCTCACTGCTTGCAAATTTATGCTCTGCAAGATCAAAGTTTTCTTAATTTTTTTTTTTTTTGTACTTCTGATTATATTTAGGCAAGTTAACTTAGGTGTTTTTTAAACGATTTTTTTTTAAGAATTTTTGTTTCTTTTTTGCTGTTTGGAGCATTTCTGACCAGAATTTATTCTTTTATTTTCACTTTTTCCTGTAATGTGCAACTTAGCAAGTAACATAGAAAACAGTGGTTTTCAACGTTAAATTATATTGTGAGAACTAAGAATAATTTTTTCTGTTACTCTTTTGCTTCTTTGAAAAAACTTTTTTAATCAGCATTTTTATTATGGCACAGCATTTTTTAAAGAGCATTTCTAATGAATGCTATTCTTTTATCATTTTCTTTTTCGAAAAATACAGCAAGGTGAAAAAGTTAAATTGAGATTTTTAGCATTTGATTTTTTGTAGATTAAGAATGTTAAGGATTGAGATCAATTTTAATTTTTTCTGTTTCGCTTTTGGTTATAATCTTTTACTTTTATGGGAGTTTTTATGATAGTGCGCATTTTATGAGTGTTTCTTTTAAAATATATTTCTAATAACGTTTATAGCTGTTAGTCAGTTTTTTATGTATAAAATATTTCTTATGAATAACTGTTATAAGTTTCTTCTCCTTACCCCTTAACAATAATATAGCAAAGTTTTGATTCATTTTCAATAATGACTAAACTTAGTTATATATATATATTTTAAAATTTCTTCACCTCAAAGCTTTTCTTTTTTTCTCCCTCTTTGAAACTGTGTGGAACTTATAAATTAAATCAATATTTTTCCATTTTCTTTTAATTTTTAATTAATTATTATAGTTCACAAAAAATCTTTAAAATCCTATTTAAGACTAAAATAATTTTTCTTCTAAACGTGTTGTTTTTTACTTTTTGAAACTTAAATATTTCCAAAAGCACTTTATATTCTCTGTTTAAAGCAAATATATTGCTAAAGAACTCTCTTTGTGAGGTATTTTAGAATGATTTTACTTTTAAACATTTCATAAAACATTTATTTCTAGAATAGCATCAACTGTTAATCAGTTTTCAAAATAACTAAAATACATTTTTAGATACAAAAGAAAAAATATCTTACAGAGGTAGTTTAATTTTATAAATAAACAAACTGTCCATTTTTAGTTACTTTACTTAATATTCTCTGAAATAGAAATATATGTCCGATACAAATACATCAATATACACGTGAACATCAAGTATCAAACTCCGTAATATACTTGAACACTATGATGGCACTTGAATAAAAATCATAAAAACGATGAATCTCTGCAAATCCCAACCACAAGTGAATATTTAAAAAATAATATAATTTAATATTGAAAATTGTCCATATTTATACATTTTGATTTAATAAAGTTAAAAGGGATGTAAAAGTAGGAATAAGATGTTTACCATTTTTTAATTAAGCCGATACTTTACTTAAGGTTTAAAACTCATTTTTCTTAGTTAGTGAAGTAACATATCTTAATGTAGGACTTTCTGCCAGATAATTGTTGTGCCACCTTGTCATCAAGTTACTGAAGCACCAATGAAGATATCCTGTTGGGACCTTAACTAGAGGTGGGCTCTAATGACACATTTGTGTAACTCCACCTGTTCCCATTAGATCAGGGTTGCTTCTGGTTTGCCATTATTGAACTTGAAATGCTTAAAAATGTTCTTCTTTTTTCCTTCTTTTATTCTCCCTTTTCAACACACATTTAAGGAGTATTTTTTTAAAAATTCATTTATAGTTTGTAGGGATAAAAAATTTAAAATATTTCTCAAGGTTGAAATATTGTCTATATCAAATGTCCATTTTCCATAAGATTACTACATATTGTTATTTGTGTTTTTCTTTTTGCTTATATCCATACTAATAAACTATCTTTAAAATGGGGTACATCAAAATAGAAAGAAAAACCAGGCCTACAATAGCTCATTTTTTTAAAAAAATGTTTTGCAGAGCTTAGAACAAAGACTATGATGAGCAACCTAAATTTATCAAGAAATAAAAATAAGTATGTTTTTAGCTAAAAAAAATTGTTATCTATTTGCTAGTAAAGGTTAAATAAGCATACATTGACATGAAATCTCATTCAATAATTCAGATATGCTAGAACTGATAACCCCCTAAAAACTATTTTTTATTTTTATTTTAGAAAATATTGTGTTCAGTTTTTAAAATGCCATAATTGTGTTTTTTCAGCATTTGTCTTAACCCTTTAAATAGGTACAATCTTGCTTTCTCACCTGAAAAAAAAAAGTTTTTTCATGTGAGTCCTTGAAAATGCTACACTAAGCAGAAAGTTTTTAATCATACATTACGTGTTGTGCTTATGTAGTATCATAACCCAGAAAGGAAGAAAGTCGTAATTTTTCTGATAAAACTTTAATGGGAAAAATTAATCTAATTACTTCAAACTAGTCAAGTAAGGATTCTTTGTATAGTAACAAAGTAATTATTTAAAAGCATTTAGAAATTAAAGATTATTAATGTTAAGTTTTTCCCCTTTTTCATAATATAGGATACTAAAATGAAAATGAATGTTTCTGTTTTGGCAAACCAGAAGTTCTAATAAAACCAGTCTTATTTAATTAGGGAGGGTAGAAAATTTATTATTATTTTTTGAAATTTGATTATTGTTTTTATTCTAATTTATTTTCTTATTTTACAGCCTCTAGAGATGATCTTCCCAAGCAGAAATGGACCATTCCTACAGGTGAAAAATTTGTCATCTACTGTTGTAAAAGTGTAAGCAGTAGTTGTAGTCAGTCCATAGCTGTAACTGTATATTATGTTTTCATGTAAAATCTATCATTACACTTTTGTTTTATTTTCTGAATAAATTTCTGGACTCTTATTTCAGGTAGGAGTGGGTTATTGTTTATTACATATTATACAGTAATTAATGATTCTATCTTGCTCTGCCAAACAATGGAACCTGAAAAACAAATTACTTTTAATCTCAACATATAAGAACATACTTACAAATTATTTTATTATATCGCATTGTGGGTAAACGGTAGACTTTAAGAATATGATATTCAACATGAAGTACAATTGTAAACTTATTGCAAACCCAATTTTCGATTTTTAAATTCGAAAAATGAAATTTCCTCATTGGCTTAGTGGAAACGATTGTTTCAAAGTAAACTATAAACCAATCAGTTTCGTCAAATATTTTTTAAATAGCTCTTATAGCTTCAATAAAAAAAAAATTTAGTTTATTGCACATTCGGTATTACTGAGTTATTTTTTATTAAGCCAGGTTATCTCAATGATCAACGTTATCATGATAGCACAAGCGAATTATGTCACTAGATTTATATTTTTAAGGTTATCTGAAACCATGACGTTAACTTTATTTAAAGTTATTCTTTAAAAACATGCTGTTATAAAACTAAATTTTAAAAAAAAAGTTTCAAACAGAAAAGCAAAACTAAGGGAAAATGGTGCCAATGATATTAATTTTGCTAACAGTAACAAATTGAAGTAAAAAAATAACCTTTGTACAAAAATTTAAAGTTAACGGAGAAATAATATTTATTTGTTTAAAATAGCATAAAAAGTCAACTAACTATAATTGATGCTTAATTTTGGTGATAGGTATTACTGACATCATTGCAATTGGTGCAGTTATAATAGGTACCAAATATACACTTATATAGGTACAAAATATTTTGTGAGTAAATTTGATGCCGATTACAGCTGCACCTAATAATAGAAATTTTTATGATAGATTTTTTATAGCCCCCTGAAGATGTAAGTACAGGAGAAAATTGCTTGATTGTGGAAAATTTTTAATATCACGAGTTGCCTTGAGCAACAACACTATGCCAGATGATACTGCCAGTCTATATTATAAGATAAACTACTAAAAATGTGTTTTGCTTAATATCATAAACAAATATAATAAAATAAAGAATTTGAGTGTGCGTCCGTATACTGGATTTGGTAAACCGAAAGCTCTAAAAAGACAAGATTCTAATTGAGTAAAAAAATTAAGAAGTCTTATTTTTTTAATCAAAGTAATATTTTAAATTCAAAAATGGAATTTTCTCATTGGCTTAGCGAGAACCAGTGTTTTAAAATAAGCTATGGACTATTTTCAACTAAAACGATTTTATATTTTTTAAATATTTTAAAGATAACATCAGTAATATTTGCTAGCTTATATCTTTCATAAAAAATTATTGTTCATAGCTCGTTTTCATGTACTTAACTATATTTTATTTGTTTTACCAGGTTATCTGTTAGATCAATGTGATCGTTGTAGCATAAGCAAACTGCATCACCAATTTATTATTTTTAAGGTTATCTAAAACCTTGTGTTTATAGTTATGCTTTTAATATTTGTTTTTATGTAATTAAGTAATTTAAAATCAACAGTAATTGAAATAAATAAAAAAAATTAACTGAAAAACAAAATTAATGGAGAAATGCTTTTAGTTATAATAAAAATGCTTTATGCTAATTCTTTTAAGAATCTATATTATATAAAACGCTAATACGTACGTATGTATCAATAAAACCCATGATATTTCTTTTCTCGCGCTGGCAACAGTTTTCATTTTTAATTGATAGGCTTCGGCGCGCAAGAGCACGTAGTGAGCATCATATGTCTAATCGGGTGAATTCTCACCGAATTATCAAAAAAATTCTCACAAAATTATCTTCATCGAAGCCGATGCTTTACATCCGGCGTTCAGTACTATTTCATATTGTTTTACAACACATGGTTTTAGCCCTCTGGTGGGAAAGACTTTAAAACAAAACTTACAACAGTTACTTTTCTCAACAACTGAAATTTAGAATAGTGTGATTAAGAAAAATATGTGAACTGTTTGCAATTTCAAATTAATATTGAAATGCACAGGTTTAGAATTTTCTACAGTTAAAGTTTTCGGAACTTCAGTGTTCAAAAAAGTATACAAAAGCTAGACGTTAGGAACATATCCAATGCACGAGGCAATCCGAAATGAACTGCGAAAGTAGTTCCGGGGGTTGGCGAGCGCCAGCGAGCAGGGGGCGAAGCCTCCTAGTAAGTAAAAAAAACGCCAATATTATTGCTGACACCAATATTTAATTTTGGTTAAATACTAATTTAAGTAAAATAATAGGCTATGTACTAAAAGGCAAAATTAATGGATTAATGTTATTCAGTTCGTTTAAGAGGCGTATTAAATCTACAACCTATTATTGATACAAATGATGTGTAATTAATTATGGTTATAAGTACTGATTGAAATAAAAAATTAGTTATCCTTATGAACTAATAAGAAAAATAAATGGAGAAAATGTACTTATACTTTATGGGGTACCATAAAAAGTTGCCATTATATTATTAGCACAAAATATAACCTTATATAGGTTCAAACTATTTAAAAGTTAATTTGATGCTGATTACAGCTGCTTCAATACTGTACATTCTTATGATATATTTATTATCTAGAAGATGAGTACAGGAGAAAGTAGCTTGACTGTGGTAAATTTTACATATAATGAAATGCCTTGAGCAACAGCATAATGCCTCATGATATTGACAGGGTTCCCACGGTACTGGAAAAACCTTGAAAGTCCTTGAATTTGGTTGAAAAAAATCAGGGCCCTTAAAAGTCCTTGAATTCTGCCATAGGGTACTTGAAAAGTACTTGATTTTTTAGGAATTAAAATACTACTAATTTTTCTTACAGAAGAGTAGTAAAAAAATAAATAAATTCAAAGGAAAATTATAGAATTTCTGATAGATGTAACTTTTAATGCTTGAAGTGAAAAGGGGTTAAAGAAGATGTAAAACTTTTCTCTCCTAGATTTTTCGGACAGATTATTGTTCATCTCTCTAATGTTTTGAAAGCTGAAATTTCTAGCAAATTTTAGGTTTTGTAGTCATAGTTTTCAAATGATATATAGTTTTTAATTGATTTAGAAATATGTTCAATGTGTTAACTTCATTATTACGCCAGGTTAATATTGTTATCCTATTTGTTCTTTTAATTTATGTACGAAGGATAATTAATTTTTATCATCTATAATAAAATTTTTACATTTAGTTTTTACTGCTAATAAATAAAATTTAGTTCTACAGGTTTCATTGATTATGAATAAACATTGTGATTCACATTAAACTAATTCTTGATTTACGGATCGGAATTCATATAAAATGTTCTACAAATTGCGGTTTAATTGAAAGTGATTAATGGAACGCATATCTAATAACTTTAAAGTGATTTGCAAATTAGTCATCGGAATTCATATTAAGGTATTTTATAAATTACGCATGATTCTTATTAAGTAATTTATCAATCATACATCATGATTTCAATTAGTTATTTCTGAATCATATAACATGATACATGTTAAAGTAATTTTAGAATCATGCCTCACAATTCTCATTCTAGTAGTTTACAAATCACGCATTGCGATTCACAAACGAGAGATTTAAGAATTACCACCCACAATTCTCGTCAAAATGATTTAAGAATCACACATAGCTGTTCTATATTAAGCCCCTTTCGAATCACAAATTGCAGTTTGCATCATAATGATCTCTATTCACATGAAAACTATTAGCTAATCACACAACAGAATTCACATTAAGGTGATTTATGTATATCACATTGTGATTTATGTCTTGTAAGTTCGTGCATTTTGTATAATTTGCAATTCATATTATTCTGATTTTAGAAACACTGCATTTCAATTTACAAATCACACATTGTGATCTGTGATTTACGCAATCTTTGAGACTTACTTCACCTTTTTTATAATTTTGATTTACATATAGTATATCTAGATTCGTATAAATGCGGTTTAAAAATTACGCTTAATGATAATTATGCGTATTCACAAAATTTTAAAAACCACGCTTGACATTTTATGGATATATTTTAAAGGAAATAAAGCTCAGTAAGTCCTAGTTAGCTATCTGTGAAATATAGTTCTACAATAGATTTTATTATGTTCAAAATACAGTACTGATATTCTGAAGTAACAAAATGGAAAATTTGATATTAAAATTGAAACAAATATGTTAAATAGATATATTTTGATAATATATCTAATTATATACATTTCCTGTAACCTAAAATTTGATCTAACATATTAAAAAAAAGTATTAATAACCGTGCAATTACACAAACTTTATCAATTATTTACTATGCTTGTTTAATGTAATTAGCATTATACATTCATTCATTCTCATTAATTCTAATTCACTTCATGAAATTTTTCATTAAAAGTTTCACTGATGCTAGTTTTTAAATGTTGGCTAGTATCCTATGCCGATTGGAGTTTTTTTTTTTTTTTTTTTTTGTCGATTGGAATTTTTTTAAATGATTTGTAACAGCAATGCAACTATCAATCATTCATGGGGTCATCTTGTTTCACAAGTGATGGTTATACCCTCTTTTACTATCCTAGTGATCCATTTTCCTACTAGAGATGAATGGTTTAATTCTTGTCGGTGGCTTGAAGGCAAATGTCTAATATGGTACACTGATGGTTCAAAGATTGGTGCCAAATCAGGAGCAGGGATTTATTGCTCCAATGACGGTACCAAACTTCATTTTCCCTTGGGAAACTATGCCACTGTTTTTCAGGCTGAGGTCCCTGCCATTATCTTGTGCTGCACGATATGCTTAGACAAAGGATTTAAAAATATGACTATCCGCATCTGTTTTGACAGTCAGGCTGCTCTCTTATCACTGTCAGGGTGTAAATTCTCCTCTTTGTTAGTGAGGGAATGCTTCTTGGTCCTCTGTGACCTATCCACTAATAACAGGGTATCCCTGCATTGGATACCTGGACATATGGGTATTGGTGGAAATGAGCTAGCTGATGAAGCGACACGACCTGGCTCTAATGCAATTTTCTTGGGTCCTGAACCTGCACTGGGAATTTCTCCCACTTTATTTAGGCATCCATATTCAAAGTCTATGGCAAAATTGCCCATGAGCAATGGCGTGCTGCTGGTCAGAGACAAGCTAAGGAGCTAAAGCGTGTCTGTCCTAGTGTACGTCATAAAGAGCTTTTAAAGCTTAATAGAAACAGTTTAAGGAAGATCATTGGTCTTCTTACTAGACACTGCATCCTCAGGAGACACCTATACATAATGAGAATAGAATCCAATTCTCTCTGTCTGGGTTGTCATCTTGAAGAAGAGACATCACAACACAATAAAAAAATTTTTTTCTTGTCAACTAAGCATTGTGATTTAAAAATATACAATTTCTGCTTCTATGTAATTGTAAAATCTGGTTGACATGTACTTTAGCATATAATAATAATGCCGAATAGGTCCTTGAGAAATTTGATTTTAGGTCCTTGAAAGTCCTTGAATTTTTTTAAAAAAATTGAGTGGGAACCCTGATTGAATACAGTTAGTCTTTATTTTGATAACATGAATCACCGAAAATGCATTTTGCTTTATATAAAGTAACCGAGAAGGGTAACAGATAATGAATAAATAAGAAACATTGGAATCATTGTAACATTATTATTTGTTTGAATGTTTTGTGTACAATTTTATGTTGGTGATCAGTACTGATTAATTGACACTTTTTTTCATCCTGTATGAGGAACAGGTATTCAGCTTATACGGGTAAGAATTTACAATACATGATTGCCAAAAACTATTCTTGAAATTATAGGCCTAAAATTAAACAAGTAAAGCTAACTGATATTTAGATTACTGAGAAACACCTAATTTAAATTTGACGTTTAAGGGTTGATGCCTCAAATTTTTTTAAATAGAAATTGTCTTTATTCAGAAAACTAAACAGATATTTTAAGAGAAAAACTGCTTTACAAAAATATTTAGTTTTCATATTTACCTTTCCAAAATCACTTTTTATAACAGTGTCAGTTGATCCTTCATTTAAATATGTAAACAAAACACCTGCTGCCACTCTAGCTTTAATCTGAGCTTCGTCTACAGAGTGAGCCCATTCAACTGTTCCCCACTGTTTAGTCTATAATTCAAGTAATATATGTACTATTATTTAAGCTATGAAAAAGTTAATTGAAATAATGTAAAGAAACGTACCTGAAACAATGTTTCAAGCCTAGATAAGGCTACTGCTTTTTCAACATCTATGTTGTAGTTAATCACAGCCATTGTCAAGATAAGTGACTTTAAATTTTCTACTGTAAAAGTTATGCCTGTAAACACATAAAATGTAATGTTATTAAAAATCATATAATTTTTTTAAAAAGACAATTATTAAAAATCTAAATCCTAAATATAATATATTTTAACAATATTATTTTTCAATAAAACAACATGCCATTATTAATTTTTTTTGAATCAAGAAAATTTATTTTTGATTTAAAAAAAAATCAAATATATATAAATATATACATAAAATCGAGCGAATTTAAAACATTTGTGTCTAGCATGTATGTGCACGGAATGCATTAAACATAACAATGTTTGCTTATCTAATGTTTTTCTCTAAATTCTAAAAATGTACCAATGATTCTTACACAAGATATCATTCTGCTAGCAAAAACAAAAAACAAGATTATTTCATACTGTAAAGATTTTCACTATGATATGTATATCACATAAAATATTGAATATAGAGAAAAAAAATTATCTAAATACATAAAATTACAAATGTGATAGTAATCAGAACTGTAATAAATAGTAGACATAAACTTATGGAATTAACTATGCTTTATTTCTTTGGCATTTTAATTTTTACAAGATGAATGCTTGCTGAAATACGGGCAATTTCACTAAGGTTAAATTAGTATAAATACATTTTAGAATGTATTATAATTACTAGCTTCTTGAAAATCTACACATTTAAAAGTTACATTTATTATAATTATAGTATTATAATACTGTATTCACTTAAAAAAGTTGAAAAACAGTTTAAATGATTGTCAAGCTTTGAAAGTACTGGTAAATTGAAATATTTATGACTAAGCATTGTTGAAGTAGCTTTGATGTCACTGTGAACCAAAAGTCATGTGATCACGAATAACTACAAAACAGTAAGGCAAAAGTTGGGATTATACTTACTTATAATCTTTTCAGAAAATTTGAAATTATTTAAAAGAACTGAGAAGATTCGGAAAACAATGTAATATAAAAACATTTAGATTAGTATTAGTTTTTATTTAAAAAAGTGAAACCTTTCAAAAAGCTTTACTGCTGTCCCATCTACCACATAAAAATATTAAGTTGAGAAAGAGCAAACACATCAAATAAAAAGCTATTTTTGTTTCATTTATCCCAATATATGGGGGAAAGGGAATTTTTCTCATAAAATATTTCAGAACAATATAGTAGTGTCTGACAAGAGTAAAGGAAAAAAAAAAAAAAAAAACATGTAGATGNAAAAAAAAAAGACACATGTAGACATTTTATTTACCTACTAAACACCATGGGTTATAAGATAACATGTGTTTCTTCATAACTGCCAAAGCCTGGTCTGAAACTGGAACTCCACTAACATCATTACAAATGTCTACTTTAACATTATATCTAAAATTTAAAAAAAAAAAAAGTAAGAGAAATCAACATCAATAGCATACATATTTTAAACTGCTGATTTTTTTTTTTAATTGAAAATATTAATTACCTATTTGTGAACCATGCTAAAACTGGGTCCCACTCATTTTTTTGTAAAACAGCAAAATCTAAAGGCTCACTAGATCTAAAACTAAATGAAAATTTAATTTTGTTGTTAGAAAAGTTTATTAGAAACCGATTATTACATAATTATTCTGAGTAATAATTTTTTAAAAAATTTATAACAGTGCCTCCAAAAAATTATTATTCACATTCTTTAAGAGGAATATATTTTTGAAGTATAGCCTTATTGAATAAAAATATATAATTGTGTAAACTGAAATTCTAACAATTATGTTATTCATTTTCTTGGAACCTTAATCTCTCTAAACATATATAGTATAAAGGTGGTCAAAAAGTTATACTTTTAAATAATGTCTATGTATAAAATTTAATTTCAGTCGTAGTAGTAATACTTTATTTATGTCACTAAAGCTGCACAATGATTTATTTATTGGCTATCATCTTGAAAACATCCCTGAGGATGATCCAAAGACATGACAACAAAATTTTGATTCTCTGTAGAGAGAATAGCTCCACCATCTTAGTAGCCTGATGCACTGTGTGCGAAGTTAAGCACTTTAAGGTAAAACAATTAAAGGAGGACCAATTGTACACAGGGGTCTCATCGCAGGCTGATCAAAATGGTCACCTACCTGCTCACTGACTCTGCCAGAGATGCTGGACTTCGGTGATTTTACTCAGAGAAAATTTAATTTCAACCACAAAATGTTATACATAGAAAAATGACATTCACATTATAGCTTAAACTTTTTAAAAACAAAATTACTATTAATACCTTTATAGTTGAATTTAGTTCCCCAATAAACACAATTTTAATAGAGAAAAATTTACATTTTAAATGTTTAGTTAAATTAAAATTCATTTATCCTTGCATAATTAATTAAAAAAAATTTTTTTTACGGAAAATATTCATTATTTTTAAACATTGTTGATTTCTTTGCTATTTTTGATAATGTTTCTACAAGAATATCATGAAACACTGGAGCTTGATTTTCAGCTGGCAGGCATCTTAATATGTTGTGCATGATACAGTTGTTTTCTCTTAAAATAAAAAAAATCTGGATATTGCTTATAAGCTTTTTGTTATAGAGTAATGTTAATATTTGTTATCAATACTGATATGACATTTAAATTGTAATTACAAAATTAACTTATGACCAGCAACCAATCAAAAATGACTTTGGTATTATTACAAAATTATGTAATTCCAGTACAAAACATCAGTACAATTTCAGAAGCAGATTAAACTAAAGATGAGGTAACTGAAACCAGTCTTAATTAGGAAGTTAAATATTATGTCAATTACATGAATAGTATTTTAATTACAATAATTAGTATGAAAAATAAAATTTAATTTTTTCAGCAATAATGACATACTGTCTAAAAGAAATTTTTTATTATGAAAAGCATAACCTGTATTTCTAAAGAGTAGGGATAAAATCCTCATCATAATCTCACCATGTAGTATCTGAAGAAAGAAACTGTATTATATCTTCTGCAATATTTTCAGAAGATAGTTTGCATGGATTATCAATGGCAGTGTTACATAATGCTGTCTGAAAAGATGTATAAAATATTTCAAAAGTAATAATTGAATAGTAAACATTAAAATTTTTTTAAAGAAGTAATTTAATATAACTAAGAAACAGAGTTAAGTTGAATCAATTACAAGAGTTTTTTATTGCAAGTAATCAACGACGTGTAAACAGGATACCTTCTGATTCACCAAAGAAGACAGACGTCCCCTGTTTTTCTATATTAATGAGTTGTGATTAAAACCAGCAGCATCTGAATAGAATTGATGTGACAATTTCTACCTCATGTCCTCTTTGTGGGCATGGTTTTACAAGTAGACAGATAATTATTAGAATAAAATTAAAAGGTGTTAACACTGAAGATACTCCTTTAATTGATACAGTGAAACCTCCAGGAAAGACAACTTGTGTCTAGCGGCCATTTTTTTTACAACCACTTTTGGGAAGCACAGAATTTTTTCCACAGACTTTTTGTTTAAAAAAATCTTTAGGAGAGCCCATCAAAACCTTTCCAGCATCCAGGTAAACAAAAAATATTAACAAAACTAATATGCAGATTCAAAATATACGTGGGTGGCTCTTAATTTAGATAGCTCTTTTTGACAATATGTGAAAAAAATCAACAACCTCATGTTGCAGTCAAAGTGCACTAAAGACAATATTATCAATGATTTATTTTTACAGATGAAAGTTAAATTAGAAAAAAAAAAGTTATTTTAGAAAAAACAACACATCTCAGAGAAACAAGCATCTCATTTTATAAAGCTAATTAAATTTTTATGGTAAAAAATTAAATGTAAATTTAAAAAAAAAAAAAAAAAATAAATGTTTATTTATTGAAAATATTTCTGTCTTCCATAATTAGTACATTTGTTTTTACACATAATTATATCAGTAAAGGTCATTTTTATAGGCGTTAAACTTTATTCGTCAATCCGGTTTTCATAACCTTAGCACAAATGTCATTTCCGCACCAAGAAAATCACACAGACTAAAATTTAAATTGCTTGTGAAAAAACATACATCTTTTATAACATTCTGAAGTCGATGAAGATAACCACACTAAGAACGACCAACCTCCATTAACGACCATTTTACTGTGGAACAGAGAGTGGCAACGCCCGAGAGCTCTCACTGTTTTTCCTCTTAATGTTAGGCAGCCAGGCCAACTGGCTTTGGTTGGGAGTAGGATAATAATAAATAAAAAGTACTTTTTATCATGGTTTCAGGTACTTAAAAGAGGTGATTATAATACTAATTATGGTTATAGTGGTAATTTCTGTTTGTAGTTGAAATCATAGTGCAATATTAATATCTCGGTTGAAAATCATTTTAACATAATTATATTTTTTCTGTTGTATTGAAATAAATAAAATTACATTAAATATATATCACATTTACATGTATCACGATTAAATGTAATTAAGTCTGTCGTAATAATTATTCTTGTAATCCATTTTGCCAACTTTATATACTACAAATGTTTAACATCACATTTAATTCTAACTTCAAATATTATGTAATCACTTAAAGATGGTACTGAGTGATTTGCTTATTTCTGCTGAAAAGGGAAAGAATAAGATTTCATTTATTGTGAAATGTCTCACGTAAATTGAAAAAATAATAAAATTTGGAAAAATGAAATTACGTTGAAATTTATTTTTCCCAAGCATAGAGGACTAAAGTGCAATTAAATTATTTTTGCTAAAATGAAGGGTCTAAAGTAATGTTAACATTACATTTAAACAGTCACCAGGATGTGTAATTCCAGTCCTAGTCCACTCTGTTGAAAAAAATATTGTTAAACAACTAGATTTATTTGATTAACGTGATTGCACAGATTTAAATTTAAGATACAATATAAGGGTAAAGAAAAGATAAAGACTGACTTAAGCTACCAAGCAAAAACTAAGATATTTAATGGAGAAAAAAAAAAAGATTAACATTATAAAAAATTTATTAGTAAAAGTTAATTCAGGCTAAAATAATGGTCTACGTTATAAGAGTTACTAAGTTTATTAATTGTAAAAATCCAGATTACATAATTTTGACTATTTAGTGAAAAGGTTTATGCACATGGCAAGTACAGAATTATAAGAATAAATATAATTTAAACATGAGATAATTGTAAAGATACTTAATATCACATTTAAGGAACAAAAAATATTTATATTAAAAAAATATATCTATTCTCCAGGGGAAATTGTCCTACCACCCCACCTCACAGCGAATGCTCGCTCGTCCTCTACTACATTCTAGCAGCAAGCCCATAAGCCGAATGACATGAAGATGAAAAACTTCTGTAATTTCAAATTTTGTGACTGTGCTAATGGTCTCCACTTTATTAGCCCTGGACAGCTGGGTCAAGGGGACCAGCTATTCCTGCAATGCTTAGAACAAAACCTTCCTGCTGACTGATCTCAGCTAGAAAGGTGAAGAGTTGTTAAAAATTAAAGTGCTCAAAATTAGGGTTTCGTTAAAGTGCCTAGCAATGAAAATTAATAAAATAAACTCATGAATATAACAATAATTAAATCACTGGTTATATTCCAACCTAATTATTATCAACAATTGACTGTATTACTTAATACATAACAATTTACACATTTATGTGCAATGAATTTAGCAAAAATTGAAGAAAAATTTTAGATTTAATTTCATGGTCAAAATGTTACAGATATCAACTGAAATGCATGTAAAAAGTACTCGTGACATTTTATAACAGGATTGTTTATTACATTCATTTATGTTGCAATAGATAAATACTTATAAGAAGAATAAGTTTTATAGAAACTATCTTACAATATGCATATTATGACGTTCTATAACATCTCGTTGAGTATCCCATTCTGTTGCCACAGCTACTGCTAATCCTTCATTTGGTAGTAAAAACTTGTTCCCTAATGGAGTCTTTAATCGTCGCTTATCAAGACTTATTTCAAACTTACCTTAAGGGTGAAATATTCAAGTAAATAAAAGAACAAATAAAAACCTAGTTAAGAACTTAGTGAACAGTTAGAATAGGGAAAAACTTACCATCAGTTTCAGAAACATATACATTTTTATAAAATCTTTTTAGTGGAGCTACAAGAAAGAAGAAAATGAATAAATAAATACTACTGATGCTTCTAAAACAATTTCAGAACTAATTTATCACATTACCACACTAGGAATTAATAAACATTATCCAGTTCAATTTATGTTTATTTGGAAAAATATTTAAAAACAGTAAAAGACAGATGAATAATATTATTCTTCAAAAATTTTGTTGTTTAGCAATTAGAGGTGAACTTATGAAGAATGTCTGAAGATTGAAAGTGAAGAATGTCTAGAAGAACTCTTGATTGTCTTCTATTCAATATGAACTTAATTTCTACTTGGTATATATTACTTAGAATCTTTATATTATTTAATATAATTAAACAGTAGACAATATACTTGATTAAGTCTGGCCTTTAATCTCTTTAAATTAGTATCCTGTCAAATTGGTGGAAGCTAAGAGAAAAATGATTTACAACAAGGGAATTTCCTCTAAATATTTCTTTTTAATATTCATAATATTTTTGAATTTTCTTTAAATATTTTTAAAAAAATTTTACCCCCAAAACACTTTTTTCTTTATGTAACGTTAAAATCACTCTTCCTGTACTATTTTGGAATTTATGTTAAATATTTAATTTTCAACAAACCCTTGATGATTGGTAATATTTTTGGCAGCACAATATTTTTCAAAGAACGAGAGAAATCAAGGCATTGCTTACTTTTTAGATAAAAAATATATTTGTGAAAAAGCTAATTTCAGAATTAAATAAATTGAAACTTATCAGAAACATGAATTGAAATTAATTCTAGATTAAGTTCTGCTTTATTCTCCCAATTCTCATTTAGTATTGAACTTTAGCTTTACATGTTTTGAAAGTTACTTCTTGTTAAAGTTGAAAGTTATTACATTAAAGTTGGAGTAAGTATCTATTAACAATTTAATAATGAAAATTAAATAAAGATGAATAAAAATATTTTTTTAAATTCCTCTTTCAACCCATTTCCACCAACAGTAAATGAGCAAAAAGCCTTTTAGAATAAGGAGACTACATTACATAATTTTGCACCAGAAAATATAGTTCTTTATTTTTTTTAAATAGTGTAGAATAATTTTTACAAAATGAAGTATTAAATATTTTTTCAAAATTATAGATTTCTAATAATTCTATTTTCAACAATTTATTAATCGTAAATTTAATAAAATCACATCAACTGCACCATAACCAATGATTAATCTCCACTTTTTTGGTTATCTCGTTCAAACTTGTTCATGATCTTTTATCCTACCTATTACAATAGCTTCTTTCATATTTATTTTGATTAATGCTAATTAGTAAAAAAGAATTTCTTTGACTATTTCAATTGGTTAAGTTAAAATATTTGAAGTATAAAATTGTTTAATAATTTCTATTCATATGATCTTTATCACTGTGAATTCAGTAAGTTTTAAACATAAAAAATTTTTAAAAAGAATTCACAAAATAAAATGGTTAGATAGAAAATATTAATTAGTTTAGGTAGCTAGGTATTTTGGTAAGGAAAAATAACAAAATTTGACATATTTTTACATTGCTACTCATTTATCATGTCGGGTAACTAAAAGAGAATATTAATGTTGAACAAGTTATTGACCCAATTAAGAATGGCCAATTTATATAAAAATACATACAGAGATCCACAGATTAGATGAAAGTTTAAAGTAGTATTAAAAAGAATTGCATACTGGATTTTCTTGTAATAATGCATGTTTTATAAAAAGAAATATATTTCATATGTATTTTCTTAGTAAATATCCTTTTATGTAAAATTTAGAACTAAATACTTTTAAATTGATGATAAATAGATCAAATAAATATTATAACTCATAATAATTATTTATGAAGTATAATCAAACAAATATATCAAAAGGAAAGTGGCATATTAAGTATCAGTAGCATTAAGGATAAAATAAATGAATGTAATATTTGAACAAAAAAAAACAACAGAAAGATAATCAACAGAACATATAAAATATATTAACCAGAATAATTCCTATAATAGGCTTTAGCAGCAGTATTACTGCAAAATAGATGCAAATTGCTAAAAAACGATTTTATAATCATTATGAATTGAGGTAAACACTTAATTTAAGTTAAAATAGAGCAAATAAATTTATATTTATTTATTTCATTAAAGCGAAAAAGTTTTAAAAAAACTTATAAACAACAACAATCTGGAAGAAAGTTAGAATTTTCTGTTTGATTTGTTGATATGATATACTCAGTTTTAAGTTGTATAAGGAATTCAATAGTAGATTACAGCTCGCAATGTTTTTTTCCGCAAAACCTCTTGGGGAATTTTATGATTCACTGTAAACTTAATTAACTGTTAACCAGGACAAGACGTTTAGTAGTCATCGCTTTCGGGAAGTACGCCTGTCTCTTTAATCTTAGTTTATACTCATGACAATAACATTGAGCAGAATTGTTAGTTGTCATAAATCAAGACCACCGAAATACTTATTAGCATTCCAATATTAGATGCAAAGTGATAATATTGATTGTTAATACGAATTATTTCGAAGATGGCGGATCCTGGATCTTATGATATGAATGATCCGGAATTAAAATATCTTGTTGTGGATCGAAATTTTATTAATGATCCGACTGCTCAAGCGGAATGGACTGCAAAAAAATTAGTTTGGATACCTCATGAAGTAAATGGCTTTGTTGCTGCTAGTATTAAGAAAGAAAGAGCCGATGATTTGGAGGTGGAAATCATCGAAACCAATAAAAGGTGTGTCGTTGCTAAAGATGATGTACAAAAAATGAACCCTCCTCGATTCTCTAAAGTGGAAGATATGGCAGAATTAACATGTTTAAATGAAGCCTCTGTTTTGCACAATCTTAAAGACCGATATTTTTCAGGGCTAATATATGTAAGTAAAATTTTGGACCACTAGAAAACATCTGAATATGTTTGTTTACTTCTGTTGATCTTTCGTGTCTTGACAGCCCAAAAAGGTTTTTCTATTGAAAACATAATTAGTTTAATATCGTGGAATTATTCTTCGAATGTTAATTCTTTTGATTTTTGCATATAACTTACGTTAAAACGTTAGGTGTGTATGCACGTAAGCAGGTATAGTTGTAAACATGTTTGTCTTTCTCCACAAAGCATCAATTAATGTTTAATCATGACAGGGGTATAGAAAATTTGAAAAGTTTAGTTTGCCGGTCTGCAGGACCGGTAACTAAAAGATATTGTTGTAAATATACATTTTCGCTGGTCCATTGTCTCTATTATTTATGTATATTGACACTATAGAAAATGTTATAACTGAATTTTAAAGAAAATTACAATGTAGGAAATGTGCAATGTTTAAAATTTTGATGTAATTTGCTATTTTGGGAAGGAGAGAAAAAAAAACCATGACCAAGACAGCATACCATTCTTTTACACCAGTTTCTGATCAGGGAAACCGTTAATTAATTATTTAATGGTAGTCCGAATACAATTTTAATGATACTGGACCAATGTTAATTTTAAGACCTAATTGCAACAGTTATGACTTTTTAAAATTTCATTCCTTTTTTTTTTGTTAGTACATTATGTACTTTTATTGTTGAATTTTAAAACGAAGAGAGGAGTCTGGTAAAAATCCCGGCATAATCTTTTATGAGATAGTTTATTTTTTATAATGACGATAATGGACCGGATCCTTTGGGAATTTGGATTTCATTACCTTAAAATTCTCTTGTAATCTTTAGTGCCATTATATCTATTATAAGAAATGCTTACTTTTTAAATACTTACCTTAAGCAAAAGTTTTTTTTTGTTTGTCTATTTAGTTGATAAATGCATATAATTTTATTAGTCGCAATAAAATAAATTTTAAAATTGCAAATAATAAAATTTATAAAAAATCTAAACATACTTTGGTGTCACTGGAGTACACCTTTAATCAGATGGACAAGTGGCATTTATGTCAACAGAGGTTATGTCATACTAATTATGATAAATATACAATTAAAACAATAGCAGTATTAAAATTGACTAAAATTAAAAAAAATTGAATTATTCCAAGTAGTTAAAAAAATATGGTGCTGCATCTAGCTCAGTAGGAAAATCTGTAATCATTAATAATCAAACTCTCCCAGAGTATTCAATTCATGCCACCCCTGTTTGTAGTACTATGTGGTTATTGGACCTTGCTTGTAAATGAGAAAATATCAATTCCATAGTGACTGGCATTACATTTCGATAGGTTTTCCTATTTTTGAAACTTTTTTTATTGATAAATTTATGATAACCTTTTCTTAATAATTTATTAAAATTATATAGAGTTTTTTTTCAATAGCATTATGCTTGTAAGAAAAATGGATGGAAGTTATAAATGTTTTATTTATTGTAGAAAAATAAAAAGCGACTGACATAACATAGAAAGAGCAGAATGAAACATAGAATCTTTATTTTAAAATTCTTCTTCTTCAATAAGCAATAATGGGATTTATTTTTTAAAACTCTGGATTTTTATGTTACTAGCGTTAGATACAAAGTTTATTAAAATTTTAATGAACTTACTACAAAATATTTAAAAACTAAAATTTTTGATTTTATAATCATTAAAAAACTAAGAAATGTAGGGTTGCTATTAAATGTTTATATATTTATTTATTTTTGTTTTATTATGCTGTCCATTGTATAATGAAATTGCCTAATAACCCTTTTAATTTGGGTAAACAATATGACTTGACTCTCTTCTTGGGGGGAAAACATTTCATAAATGTCACTAAAAGAACCTTTCTTCTTCTATTTGGCACTACAACCCAGAGCAGGTCACCCAAAGAGTCTTATCAGATGAGTTTCTATATTAATTTGAGGCAGTTGAGTTATAAAATCCCAAAGAGTAAAATGAATTTATATAGCATATAAAATTGCAAATTTGCAATTTACGTCTGAAGTTAAAATAATAAATCTCTTTTTGTTTTTAAATTCATTATTAATGTAATTCAAGTACATTTTACAGTTCTTCTAATAGTTATTTTAAAGTATTAAATAAATACCATATATTTATTGAAATATGATTTTAGGTGAAGTTTTTGTATTTTACTATTAAATTATTAATAAGCCTTAAAAAGTTTATATTAAGATAAATGCTGGTTGAAATGTCAAATTTTACATTTGCTTAGCGCAACATTTTTTTCCTTATTACTATCTTTGTACCAGTCATCATTTCTAACACTTTAAAAAGTAGAGTTTTTAAATCTGGACTTAGCTCAATATATGTGCTTGCAAAAATGTACAAAATTCAAAATACGTGTTTATGGAAATATACAAAACTCAAAATGTATGTTTGCAAACATACTGCTTTCAGTTTTCAATGTTTATTTAATAAGCTTTACTGTGCATGCTTTACTGAAGGAGCAGTTTCTTATTACCCCCCCCCCCCTTTATTTGACTCAACAACCACACAGCAACAAAGCAAAAATAAATTGAAATACCCATAATGGGTTAGTATAAGCTTTGCAAAATAAATTGTAATACCTTAAATACAAACAGAAACTATTCTCAAAAAAAATTAACTCTTCACACTAATCAACAAATTCCAAAAAAAAAACAAAAACAATTTTTTTTTCTTGATCTCCTTATATTTTTTTAAATTCATGCTTGTGTTAACCAGATATTTTTAAGACTTCATATTGTGCTTACTTTTTCTGTTTTTTAAAAAAAAAAAAAAAAAAAAACTGAACATAATCATTACATGTCATGGTCCCGACTTCAGAGTCAGTATGGCTAGCTTTATTATGGATGTGCAATTTCTGGATGTCAAATTATGGATGTGCAATTGCTTTTCAGACAATTTCTTTGTATAAAGTGAATTTTTAAACTTTTAATTCCTACAACATAAGTTCAATAATCACTATTATAAATTTATATTACTTGTAGCAACCTTGCAATAACAACTGTGACCTTTAAGAAAAGACTAATTTCATGTAAATGGACAATATCACATCACAAAGTTATTTGGATTCATTAAGTTTATTCTTAGAATAAAGAAAAAATGATCATAAAAAAATTTCAAAAACTAAATCAAATGTTATGTCCATTTTCATAAACACTTATTTCAAGCTAAGCTTATTTTTGTAAACACACATTTTTAATTTTGTCCATTTTCTTAAACTTTGTCCAGATTTAAGAAGTCACTGATGGTATGCTCTTTAAATTTTTTTTTTCAAAAGTGATAATCTCTTAGAGCATTTTATTTTATTTTATAACCGTCATTGAACATACGACCCAATTTTGGGCATACGAATACCAATGTTCAACTCCGTAGCCTTGTAATTTTGAACCAACCCAGAAGACAAGGAAACTTCTGGATCAGTAGCTCCAAAGGTATGATTTGTTATGAGGACATGGAGAACTTTGTGACTTGGCAGATTTAACGTGCATCAGTCACCATTTACTACACAGGGAGTTTTCGGCCGATAGGGATTGAACCCACAACCTCTTGAACATGGGCCAAGTGCCCTACCAACCAGACTATCCCGGCCCTCCATAGAGCATTGAAAATATCTTTCCAGGCCTTTAAAGCAGTGCTTCCTAGCCTTTTTATCATCATAGACTGGTCAACATTTGATAACTTTACTGAGGCCCGCTGAGTTGAGGAACATTGAATGTTTTTATTTAATAATTTAAATTGAATTGTATTGTATCAAATGAATATAATTACATGTACAATATTGGAGGGGGGGGAGTTTAGGTGATGTGTCGCGGTTAAACTTCCGTACATGGAAAGTCATTCAAACCTCAGAAAAATACTCCTCAGTAAGTAAAATGGAAATAATTTAATGTCCCTTTTGCAGCCCGAGGATTGGGGGTCAATGCTTTAAGGAACTGAAAAAACATTTTAAATAAAAATTTTCAAAAGTAGTTTTTTTTTCTGCCACCAAATGTGATATGTATCAGATTAACTTTAGTTTTTTTTAGAACCTTTCCAAATCCTTAAAAATGATTTCTAAAATATTAAATTTATAATTTCTTCTATAAAAGTAAAATAGTTTGAAAATCAACATATCTAAAGATAATTTTGTTTGCTTCTTTCTGATCTAAGATAGTGTAAATTGCTTGTTTAAAGAATTAATGACTTTTTTTTTTTAAAGAAATAAAAAATATTGTATTTTAAATCTGCATCATCTAAGAAAATATTATTTTATTTATTTATTTTAATGTAAAGATATAAAAACAGTGATAACCAGTCCCAAGAAATGGAAAATAACTTTCCCTGATTCAGAAAGTGTGCTTGATATATTATAAAATTAAAACAAAGGAAACATTATCCGATTTATGTTTTAAAGAATATTTGAAGTAAATAACAGAAAAATTATTAGTAGACTAGGAATTGTTTGTATGATTTTCTTGGGATGCATCCTTTTGTACAAAAGAACTTTCTAGCAAAATCACAATACCTCTATGCATTTATTATCATCAAGATCTTCAGATTTGACATTAATTTAAATCCATTAGAATGGGCTGTAAGGGATTTTCATAAATGTGTATTCGCATTGCTGAGTAGCCAATGGAAGTGTTTCAGTTATAAACACAATCATAGAATAAGTTTAAATAAATTTTCAATATCTATATGGACCCTCACTCTCATACACATACCCATGGAGACTTAGCTATTAGAAGTTACACAAAATAAAAATCCTTAAGAAAGTTGACCTACAAAAACGAAAAAGTTACATGCCATTCAGTGAAACGGAGATGATAGCATCACTTCTCTAACGTGTTCTTAAAAAGAGGAAGGATGCTTATTTATATATAATGCTTATTTATTTGTTTCATGAAACTTATTGCTTTGACCTAGTATCAAAAATTCATATAGGGTATCAACTGAAATGACTATTCTTTAGTTTTCTGATGGAATTTGAAATT